CTCCGGGGGTTTCTCACCGCCCGGGTGTCCACGCTGAGGCGACAGCTCACGGGCAACAGCAGCTTCCGTCAGATGGCGGAGGTGCGGAACATCGCGGAGAAGTCCTGCAAGAGCCTCAGGGCGAAGCTGAGCGTCAGCGAGAGAAAGACGCTGCAGGGCGCCCCCAGTCAGATCTCGGGAATTTCCAGGGACAGCTGCAGGAAGCCGGACCAGTAGAGCGATGTGCCAAACCTCCAGCGCTCTCCGTGCTTAGAACGCCATGAAAGGCGCCTGTCCGGGTGGTGCGAAACGTTCACTTCGATACGCATTCCTCGACCGATAATCGGTTCAATTACTACGCCTCGCCTAAAATAGTTTGGGGGGGGGGGGGGGAATTCTCAGCAACACACCAAGGATGGGAGCTGGACGGGGCTTGGCGATGTCATCGGCATCGGCCGCGTCATGCCTTGCGTGGCTTGTCGGCCTGGGGGGGGGGGGGGGGGTGGGGGGTCATAGCTGTCAAACCCATATGGTTTACTACCCCGTATTCTTGTACAGGGAGACGGAGAGGTCAGGTCCAATCGAGAGTTCAGGTCCATACGGCGCACAGACGTTTCAATACGGGCAATTTTTGTTGTTGTCTATTTGTTTGCATTTATTCCCTTGTGATGGGACTTTGTAGGATGAACGTGAGATTTCTAAGGACACGGGGTGACCAATAAGGTCTGAATTGGTCTGTAATAAGCTAGGGCACCGATAAGGGGTTGACAGGTACGGGGGTTTCCCACCTTCGTGAAGCGAGATTTTGAGGTGGTCGACACTTTTTTAAGGATGTCGAGTCATTGACCAGCACAAATGCAGCAAATTATTTATAACCGACTAATCAACTGAGTGGACAATGCGTCCCAGCTGTACTTTGAATACAAATTGCAGATTTTTTGTCTTTCTTTCTAAAACCAGCCCTTGTGACATCCCCCCACAAGCCCAGATTCGATCATTACCATTCGTCTTCATCCACCTGCTCATCATCGCCGCTGTGCTACACGCATCACCGCAGGGTTGGTAAGGGGCCATCCATGTCGTAGGCACGCAAAGATCTCTCAAAACTTGACCCCTTTCCCCCTCCATGTAGGCACGCGTACTTTTTACACTCCCCCCCCCCCCAATCCTATCGAACGGCCGATATTTAATCCACGCAGAAACGATCAAGGATGAATAATATTAACGTGTTCAAGCAAACAGATAGTCCACCGCCGGACTAACTCGTTTAAAGGCCAATGTAGACAAATAACACTGGTCAGTACATTTTTTCTGGCATAAGGTATTCCAACGGTTTTAATGTAATTTTGGGGTGCTCATTCCAAATCTGGCATCAATTTTTGTCTATCACATCAGGTTTTTGAGATATCAAATATTGCATTTTCAATAAAAACTGCAGAAGAAAAATATTAAATAAATGTGGATATCTACATAAATGATATTATAAACACACTATCCTAAAAATACAGCACCATATTTTAACACTAAAGCAGTCACTGACTCGCAACAAGTTGCAATCATAAATGACAGTTAATTTCGGGTAAAATCAATGAAAATGGGGTATGCCGATAGCATAAAAATGAGATGTGATAGAGCAAATCTGAGATCAGATTTGGAATCAGCACCCTGAAATTAGTCTAAAACAGTCCAGGCCAGAAAAAAAATGTTTTTTTTTGTTGACGAGTGTTATCAAAGCTTTACTCCCCCCCCCCCCCGTGTCCTAAGCGTACATTGTCAGTAGACCCCCCATACGCAAGCGTACGCATTTGGGTTAACCCCCCCTCCCCCCTCCGTGCGTACGGACTGAACGGATGGCCCCTAATAGCAGGAAGCTGGACCCTGAGTGACAGCAACTGCGCGGGAGGACGGGAAGAAACGCGAGGTTCGGTGGGACTCCAGTCGGATTGAGGGCTCCCTCTTCTGGCCACGTCGTTAGCGCAGCCAGTGCTTGTGGTGTCGTCACGAACGCTGCGTTGTAACACGCCCCACTCGGACGGATCATTGCAACGGGTTTAGAGGTGCAGCACTGCCTCCCCTTCACAACTGCTGTTTCAGCATGTGCACGGTTGAGGTCTGTAAAATGATGAGCGGTCAGAGTCAATACGCGTAGCCTTTTTTTTTTACGAAACATGACAATACAATGTACTGTCATTTTTTTTCTTAAAGCCAATACATTGCGGTTTTGCCCTGGGGGAAAATCTGTGCCACGTTATGAATCCACATACATTTGATAGAATATTATCCACTTCTAGTTTGTGAATTGTGCCCAGACCAAAATCAGACAATTTATCGATAGACAATTTTCGTCAATGTGCAACAATTAAACGTGAGAAGGGGTATAATGGAAACGATGCCACTATTTGTCTATTTATCTGCATGAACACTGGAAATGCTAAATATTGTATATTGTACTTGCTGTTGCTTGATATAATTACGTACTATATACATACACAGGTGTTATAAATGTACACCTGCACTTGAGTTTTACGTAGTAAAACCTTGGGTACATTTACAACTAATCAATCTTAAGCCTATACAATACAATTTAAAGCTGGAATAAAAACCACGCACACACATGGATTGTGTAATGCCCTTGTCTAACATACCTGTCCTCTGAACGATTTTTACGAGCGGATGTTATGTTGCAAGCCACGCGAACTGACTTTACACGGTATGTGGAGTTGCGAGAGAGCGTCACACGTATTTGCGTCATCACGACATGGGCGGAAATGAAAAAGGCGCCGTCGGCGCCGGATTTGCGAATCCTTTCGACGCTGGTTTTGTCTCCACGTTTCGGGCTGGCCGGTTGTCTACCAGGCAAGGCCTTAAACAGGGACACGCCGATGCACTGGATCACGTGCACGAGCCATCGTGCCACCCCTTGTGCGGACAATGAAAACGCACCGACACTGCAACCTTTAAACTTGATACAAATTAAGTGAATCTTGACTTAAAGCTTTCGTGACTGCAGGAATTCATATTCTTTGGGTCTTTCGGTAAAGTCACGTAGATAGAAAAAATAACAATACAATAATACAAAAAATGACGTTTCGATCGCAATCGTCATCAGATTGAATGGCTTACCAAAAATCCATAAAGAAGGCACACCACTTCGTTCTATCGTCTCCATTGACTCACCCATCTACAAACTTGCCGGACTTCTGTCTGAGACCTTACAACCATTGACTGGTAAGACCACCTCATCTGTACTTAACTCAGCTCACTTGGTATCGTTAATTAAGGACATCTCACTATCTCCAGGTGATTTGCTCGTTAGCATCGATGTAGTATATTTGCTTACCAAAGTTCCCGTGCCTGACACCATTGCAATCATTGAAGATTTGGTCCAACAAGAACTGAATGCCGATGTACCGGCCCTGGTTAGACACTGCTTCACCAACACTTACTTCACCTGGAATGGAATATTCTACAAACAAGTTGAAGGTACCCCAATGGGTTTTCCGTTATCTCTAGTTGTAGCCAATGTTTTCATAGAAAATTTTGAGACAGATCCCATGCAGGCATCCACTCTACGTCCGTCCTAGTGGAAGTACGTAGATGACACGTTTGTCATCTGGCCACATGGCCTACCAGCTCTGAACCAATTCCTCACCACATCAATTCCATACACCTAGCCATCAAATTCACCATGGAGGTGGAAAAGGATGGCAAGTTACCATTCTTGGATGTTTTAATAGAAAAGATACCAGATGGCTCAATGGGATACTGTCTACAGGAAAGCCACCCATACAGATGCCTACCTAAAACCTGCCACCACCATCCATCCCAGAAGAATTCCCTCATCAAAACTCTACACGAGAGTGCTCGATGTATTTCCGACCATCACCACCTAGCCAGTGAACTGGAGCACCGTACACCAAGCCCTCAAGATGAATGGATATTCAGACTACACAATCCGTAAAACTATCACCCCAACCGTTGGGAAAGAACCACCTGAGGACCCAATCAAAACCATCACCTTGCCATACATAGCAGGGGTCACCAAAATATTTCCAAAAACATGAGCAAACACAAGATCCAGGTTCGATTTAACACAGTACATAAAATTCGTCATCTGATCCCATCTGTGAAGGATGTGATCCCTGACATGCAATACCCCGGCGTCTACAAACTAAGCTGTGTCTGCGGCAGCAGTTACATTGGGGAAACTAAGCGACATGTCTCGGACCATGTTCGTGAACATAAGGCAGATCTAAAACACGGTAGGACCAATACCTCAGCCCCGTGGCTGATCATTGTTTTAATGCGGTGGGCTCACACGAAATTGATTTCTCCAAGACGAAGGTACTCTGCAAGCCCACTGGCTATCAGCAAAGATTCGTTCATGAAGCCATCCAGATATATAGACAGACACAATTTCAACCGAGAAGATGGGTACAAACTTAGCAATCTTTGGAAGGCCGTTATATACCAGTTTAAGTTATAACTGGCTGTGATGTTTCCATCGTACCTTCCGATGTTAGCAGTTATTTTCGACTCTGATTTTACATTAACAGGTTAAATGCCTCACTTAACACAGCCGCCGTTGCTGGTGTCCTCGAGGTGGCGGCAGCTCTCCGATCTTCCACTGACAATGCAAATGTATAACTTTAAACATCACTAGCTCCGGCCACTTCTTTCATGACCCTTGGGCTACACCCATTTCAAACCTTTTTTTTTCAGCAGCTTTCCCCCTCTTTTTTATCCTGATGTCGATTGCTTATGTTGCGATCGAAACGTCGTGATGTATTATATTTTATTCACTTTTTTATTATTTTGTAATTTTTTTCTATCTACGTGACTTTACCGAATACAAATGGAAGCAGTTTTGACTGGCTGCATGATATTGACGGAGCCAGCAACTTTGAATGAATAATGCTCAATGAAAATGGGCCTCTCGCCTTTTCCTCCCAAATCAAATCAGCATCCACACCGACCACCGCAGCCACCCTCTTGCATGTAAAGGAGCACAAACTACTTGATGCCGAGGGCTACTTTTTGCATCTTTATTGTACATTCCCTGTGTATGTACAGATTATGTTACAGGTTTACGCAAGGCAGAAGCGGGTATTAGGTTTGGCTTATTCCATCCTGACAGTGTGAAACTCTTCCATAATGTATTTTCCAAAAAAAGCCAGATGAACGTCCAAAACACTACAAAAATGGAAAGTAAAATTGTAATTTTAATACAAAAAGAACCTAAGCGTAATTCAATTTACACGTAATAATTTACCAAAATAGGAACATAAAATGTACAACAAAATGGTAAGAATGCACATTTAATATGTGGTACTTTTTAGTTTTATTATTTTAATAAAGAGTAGGATATTAGCATGTGTATAATATGGTTATGCCTGCCACAATCACATTACGTCCACTCACTTGCTCTAGCCAACAACACATACCTTAGCCCATTAACCATTGACTCTACAAGCTGCAGTGCATACGGCCCACCCACCCATGCTAAGCACTACACTAAGACCTTCAATCTAAAACCATCACTTGCTTAAAAGTCCCACAGCAGCAATGCCCCTCTCCATCACCATCAATAAAAGAAATCCGCAGAAGCTAGCAAACCGTTAAGATTCGACTTCAGAACAATGACAGTTCTCACACGGGTTGTTTCATTCATCCCCCTTCTTGCTGCTTACTCATTTTCATCCAGATGGGAGTTGGCCCTCTTGATGCAAAGTCACGTGGCTGTCACGCTCTAATTTAATTCTAATTTGGTACCGATCGACATCAGTGATCAGTAAAAGGTCGAACCGGTGAGCTTAAAAGGTTGGCTCTTCCGCGGATTTCTGGACAATCCCCTTTCTCATCCGTCCCAATGGACTGGCATAACCTTTCGACCTTAACAGCGCCCGCTACTGGCTGCACATATATTAATTACCACGGTCAAGTGTAAAGGCAACACGACATGGTTAAGAACACGGTGTGTGTGTGTGCGCGCGGTATTATGTACTATAATTGTATGCCTAAAAAAAACTCCGCAATTGTTACAATACCACGTGATGCATTCAGATGTGTGCCCCCCACACCCATTATATGTACATTCCCTAATCTGCTTCCATAACCGCACTGCCAGCTGCTACTTCTTCTCATCGACTGTCATCGGAGGAAACAAAAAATATATATATACGCTTCATAATCCCAACTTCCAATTAACTTTTCCGCGAGAAGCCCACGACAAAAGCCGCTATTCGCGCGTAAGGCAATGACATACGACCGTCTAACTACGAGCGCGCCCCTACGCTTCAGTGGTAACGGGGGGGGGGGGGGGGGGGGGGCAGGCGGAGGCGCGCGGTTTCATCACAACAAACACAATGGCTCATTCGTCCAGGCAACATGTGGGCCCCCCCCCCGGGGGAAGGGGGTCAGGAGTGGCGAGCTGCAGCACACCGATTGGACGACACGTGCGCGCGCACCACACACGGCCACAAATTGGGAAGACTGGCAAAAAGGTTGAATTGCGACCACGGCAACAGCAATTAGTGAGGGTAATAATACAACATCGACAACAACGGAAGAGGCGACGTTCTTTTGCCGAGGACGAGCAGAAGGCACCCGCGGTTCCGCGGAGTTTGGCCGTCGACAGCGCCCGAGGCAACACGCTGCGGCAAAGCAATTCATTGATGCCCCCCCGCGTCGCCACCTGGCTTGAAGACGATAACGACACTCGCTTGCCGTAAAATAACGACGCGAAATAAATGGAATAAACTAAACAATTTTTTTTTTACATTTTAATGTTCCACTACGCCCTGTGGAGCGCAAAAAAAAAACATAAGCCCTATTTACTCGTGTTATATTTTAAATCAGATAGATTAAAAGCTTACAAAAAATACATGACGACGATACAGTACAAGTTACGGGTATTATAGCGACTATGACTAAAGGGGAGAAAAAATGTACGTATATGTCCAAAACGCCTCAGCTACCATAAGAATCAATTAATAAACAATTTTAAAAAATATCCCTGAAATGTGTACTTGCAGAAGAAGCCTTGCGACTTGAAGGCTCTCCGGGGGTTGCGGTGGGCTGACACAGAGCTATGGTCGGCATCAGGAAAACCGAAAGCGGCAGATTTTGAACGTGTGGCGAGTGACGTTGCCCGGTGGCCACTCTGTGGAACTTTCTGGAACATGTCGGGGCTCCACACCGCGTCTAACTTCCTTAACCTGGTACCCCAGACGTCCTGAAAAAAAGATCTTTGTACGAGCGAGCGTGCGGCTGGCATGGCAGAGGAGACGAGAGTACCCCGCCCCACAACCACACCATTTACGATGCCCCCCCCCCTTCTCCAACACCTTGCATAAATAAGGAAACCCACGCGCGGAAGGCACCGAGCGAGAGAGCGAGAGAGCGAGAGACGTGCTGTGTTAAACAAAGGCGTGGTCGACCGTTGCCAAGGCGGCTGGACGCTTGCAAAGAGGACAGCAGAGTGGTTGGGGAAGAGCCTATGTAGGCGTGTGTGCGTGCAAAGGTGTGCGCACTCAAAACGAGACTGTACCAAAGAATTAGTAAAAATAAAAATTCTAAAAACAAAATGGAAAATCAAGTATCTTTTCCATTAAATAATAAAAAAAAAATCTTGAGTGATTTAAGGCAAGTTAAACATATACAAAATGCTAAGTTTGAGATACATATGGAACAAAAAACAATACACGAATCGGAAAGATTTTCTTTAAGTGGTATCTTCCAGTCTAAAACAAATGTTTTCAATCGCGTACAGTGTGTTTGTTACTATTCACAGTCTCTCTCAGCTCCTAATGCAAAGGCTGAGCTCTGGCCGATTAGAAAAGGAGTACAAGGCAACTTGGGAGGATTATAATCAGGCTCCTGTGTCGGACAGAATGTTAAAGAACCTTTCAGCCATGCAAGTCCAGGAACCGTTGTCTTGTTACGTGACGAGTGCTCAATGAACCATCATGGCGTGAACATCGACTCCCTTGAAGCAGAACAGCGGACGGACCAATCCCACTATCGTTCGGCAACAACAAAATTTGGTGTCAAATATATTCTAGCGGATTATATTATTATTACTATATACCTACACTTATACATATGGCACTATTCCTGCAATGTGGTCAAGTCACAGATCTTCTCCTACAGTTACATGTCACGCGCTGCAATAAGCAGGAACCATCTTGGCAAAGAGACCATTAAAATCGAAAAAAAATTCCAAGCTAGAACCAAATTTTGTTTTGCTTTTAAAGTGGGCCCTATAATCTTTCTGCGAGGGCCTAAAAGAGCCCTCTCGTTACACATATGGCCGTAGTAAAACTAAGCAGCTAAAAAATGACATGCATCACGGAACGCCGTAAACATAAGCCCAGACAAGTTCGTGACACTCATGGAATAAGATCAACATTCTGATCAAGAGTTTTTTCTTACAAATGAGCACAAAGAGCTTCCTCCAATGAGGATAACCGAATCTAGAAAATATATGGCATGCCCATTGTTTATTTCTATTACCAGAGTGCAGCCTCATTTGCCCTGGGATGAACAATGATTAAGCGATATTGTGCAAAAGGGGTAAGGGAATAAAACCTGGATTATCTAAAAAAGAGATTTAACAAATTAAAATCTTTCACATGAAATAAAACAAAGAGGCGATTTCCCAGAGATATTCTTCTTCTTTTGGACAGGAAAAGGCTAACGTAGAGGGTAATGTGGGCAGAATACATGAAAAAACAATAATACAACTTGTTGAAATAAAACGTTTCAGTCAAAGAGCCTCAGTAAGTTGGAAATAAAAACTAATTCTGAATATCTAGTCAGATTTCTCTTTCAACCGGTCTTTTTTTTTTTCAACAAAGTGCTTTTTGTTTTAAATCGCATTTCTGCCAAGTGTCTCTACCAGGGCTTTCAAAACTGAAGCTTCGATGCCACAGCTCCATCCTCGTCGCCACACTAACCACTCTTCTCCATTCAAATGCAACTTGAGTCGAAATTGCACGTAGTCCACATCAGACGGCCGACTGGTACAATTGCAAGCTTGCAGCAGGGCGCGAGGCACAAGAAGTGGAGTTTGAGAAGCCCTTGCCTGTAGCGATTCACAATTACTCAAAGAAACCATCAACCCAGACTCAAAAGGCCACCGCAGTGCTCACTGAAAGGTTAGCTTTGGGGGGGGGGGGGCAGGTGGGGAGGAGCCGAGTTAACGTCACTGCAGCATCAGCTGCTTGAGGTTGTCGCGCAGTATGGTATCCCGCACGGCCTCGAAAACGTAGCGAATGTTCTCCGTGTCGATGGCGGTGGTGAAGTGGTGGAAGAGCGGCGTAGTGCGCTCGCGCCTCTTCGAGTCGAAGGAGCGCACCAGGAACCTCTGCACGTCCTCCAGCTGATGCGGCGAGCCTACAAAGTCCGGGAAGTAGTCCGCGATGCTCGTCATGCGAACCTTCTCGGCAAGCAGGTCCGTCTTGTTGAGGAACAGGATGATGGAAACGCCCTGGAAGGTCCGATTGTTGACGATGGTTTCGAAGATGTTCATCGACTCGACCAGGCGGTTGGTCTTGCGGTCCTCCATGAGCACCTGGTCGAACTCACTCGACGACACGAGGAAGAGGATGGAGGTGACGCCCTCGAAGCACTGGAACCACTTTTGGCGCTGCGACCGCTGCCCGCCCACGTCCACCATCTTGAAGGGGATGTTCTTGATGTCGAAGTCGTGCTCCACGATGCCCTTGGTGGCCTTGCGAGCAAGCAACACGTCCTGTCTGCTCGGCAGGTAGTTCTGTGTGGGGAGAACGAGGGAACAGCAGCAGCAGAGGGGAGGGTATTTGTCAAGCGGTGGCTCACGGTTCGTGCCCAGTGGCGCCCGCCCTGGTTCAGACTGCCGGTGTATTAACTGGATTGGCAGGGGGCGTTTAGAGATCTCGTGACGTTCTAAAAAAGATAGAAGGCCGTGTGTGCCTGCGTCACGGTCTAAACTAGAAAATCGCTCGCAAATTACATAACCGGCAAGGTGACTCGGCAGTGGAGTGAGCGGTTCACAATCAGAGGTGTGTCAGTTCAAGTCCTGGCTGGGTGTTTACAAGACCAATCACCCCTCTGGGGTTGATACAAATGACGACAACTCTGGTGGGGGAGTCAACAGTGGTTGTCCGATAGATAGATGCACCACCATCGAAATGTGGAGTTTTCACCACTGGCCCAGGGCTGTAAACAGGAGATGAACATATCCAGTGTCCGGCTAATCCCTACCCGACCAAGCCCCTGCCTGTGAATCTGTTTGTCTTGCTCAATATCATTTTGTGTTTCTGTTTGTCCCTGTTGAGGCTGATAAAATTAGTTCCAATTTGTAGTAAGTTTACACTGGTCATGCTATGGAGACATCCGCTGCTGTCACACGAATTTGATACTTTACCCACGAGCTCAAGGTCAGCAGTGGGGTTGAATGCCCACGCCGTTACTTACTCAAGAGTATGGAGAAAGTAGTGACCCGTGATTTGTCACGTACCACGTTAATTGTGCCACTGTCTCCATCACTCTTTCCAATTATATCATTTTAACTTTGGACTACCCAATATTCTGCCTGAAATATTGAATAAAAATAATCCGTAAAAACATGGCAAATGCTGAAACAAGGTTAACAAATAAAATTACATTTTTTATGGAAAAAATCTACAACATGTGACGTTGGTTTTCCATCATGAAAATTTATAAAATATCTGTGAAAGGTGTGACATTAAATGTTGGGTGGCCCCTAGGCCCGTTGCAGTTCACCCCATTGCAATTACACGATTTGTGGCAATTCAGGTCAAGGATTGGTTACTTTAAACATTGTGGCTAATGTAGCATCTCTAGTGGCTGCAGGGGTAAAGTGAACCTATTGTAGGTTTAACACGTAGGCTTTCGCGACCAATGTCATCCATAAGAGGTTTGTTTTTGGATTAGATAGCATAAATATATAAATGTGTCATTAAAACCCGCCACCACCTGACACAGCCAACTAGTAAGGGTTGTCATGTAAACAGAACATGCCAATTTGTCACTAGTACAGCACTAGTGTGTAGTATATAGTACTGTAGTGTATCGTGTAGTATACTAGAACAGCACATCTACGCCTCTATAGAAGGAACAAAACAGTTAAGACTTCTCCACAAATCTGGCTGTCGCCTGATGAAGCTAGTTGTAATTACTGGCAAAACGTCGTACTTAGATTGTAAATGTTGTGGCTTGGCTCTCCAACACACCGGTGTGCTGTACTAGTGACGAATTGGCACGTTCTGTTTTCGTGACAACCCTTACTAGTGGGCTGTCGGTGGGTTTAACGACCCATTTATATATTTACGCGATCTAAAAAAAAAAACCTCTATTATGGATGAACCTATTGAATACAGGAAATCTAGTGATGCTGATACTCACAATTCTACAAAGCAAGACTAAATTAATAATTTAATCTCATGAGGCAACGAGGTTGGGAGCCAAAGCTCCGAGTCCGATCTGACTTACAGAACAGCAGCTGGAAGAAGACAAGGGGAGAAGCGGATGGAAGCCACAGCCCAGGCCAGTGCTGTTTCCCCCACCCTTTTGCTTCAATTCAAAATTGGCCTGCAGGCGTTTAGAAATACTGTCCCAGAACCTTCATTTAAATTCCAACCACCGCTCGCTCTGTGCAGTCTGTGGGTAATCCTCCCCACACTTATGACATTCACTCTGCCCAACACGGCACATTTGTAATTTTCCTCTCTCTCGCCGAAGTGGCAGCCACCGCCACTACCACCACGCCTGCGACATACTTGGGTGCGGCTCTCTTCGGGGGTGCGCTTGTTTGGCAAAAACAAATACAAACAGGCTCGGGCAGACGCTATTGGGCAACGTGCAAGTTCAGTCGAGTCACGCGCGTGCGACTAGTTCGCGGACCGACTGGGGAGCCTGCCGGATTTGTAATCTGCAGCTAGATGGAACCGTGCACGCGCCGCTGTTTGTGCGCATGTGCCGCTCAGGGGTGTCATTTTGACAGGACGGCATCAATCATTGCCCTCTCAACGCACCTGGCACACGACGCTGCAATTCGATAAAAACAGACGAGATACATGGCCAGCCGTACATTATGTTTTTTACACTTTGGCCCAAAAACACAATTAACACGATTGAAAGCGTGGCCACATCAAGGTGTCAGGGTAAGCAATTATGAAAATTGGTCTGCTCCGTGCAGACCTGACCGCAGCATCGCGCAGCGAAATGAGGCAAGGTAATGCATGTTACCGGACACCACTTGTGGCATACGCCCTCTCGCTGCTGTAAAGCGCCAAACCAGAGATGGCTTTTGTGCTCTTTGTAGATGGTACCGATTTCCTTTAATGTCACATCACTGATTTTCATTTTGCAGAACCATTCAAGGCTGGCTGCACTTTGTAAAAAAAAAAATGTAAAGAGATACGACAGCACGATCCTCCTCGTAGCACCCTAATGAAAAGCTGTAACCGTGCGTTACGCCACAGCGTGCAACCTTCTTCGAAGTTAATGTTTAATTAAAAACAACTATGGCAACTATTGTGTGTGTGTGTAGGGCACCACTGCACGTGTCTGCACTTGCCTCTCACGGCCGAGCATTCTACTGGCGAACACACAAAGTCTCGATCATCATCATTGTGTGCTATTAGATGCTCAGCTTTGGTGTAATCGTTTTATGCCATGTCACTTAACTGCAGATGTTTCAGTTTTGCTATGCATTGAATGACCCACTGAGGCCATACTACACCATCAATGTTACTCTTTGTCCCAACGCTAAGCTCCATCCGAGCAGGTGTGCGTTCAATAATTATCAGTTGTGTAGATTATCTTCTACAATGACATCGGCAGGCACTCTCGGCCAACTGCTACCGACGCTGTAAATGTTGAAAGGGAATAGCGGGCAGAAAAAGAGAAACGGACACCGGTGAAGCGTTCAAGAGGATTGTTGTCAGGGTTAAAGTTCGTACACACAGGCTACTGGGCTACTTTTTTAGGCTTAGGCCTAATATGCTCAACCACTGAAATATCTTCCCCCAACACCTCAATTTCGAGAGTGGCCATTTTACTTTGCTCGCTCTTCACTTCTGGTGTTCCCTGCACCTTTAGCCTTGCCACACGACATGCAGCCGCCGATTTTTGTATCGCTCCATCTCCCCTCTTGCTGTAAAATGTGAAAGTGACCAACCACCCTGCACAATTCCCATGAATATAATCCTTCAGTATTTGCACTGCAGTTCTAAATCTGTTTGCCGATTTTGCGCTGCTGCTGCAAGTATACGCACACAAATCAACGCATTCAAAGTAAGCTTAATGTGTCCGTATAAGGAGTTGCTGACAAGAGACTATCTGCGGCTTGACAAGCCAAAACGCCAAGTGCCTTTCGACCAAACAAGCACAGGGTGCTCATTATTAACAAATGCCCTAAACAAGTTTTTGGACTTCCTCATACCTAAGGCAAGGTTCCGTTTCTGCAAAAGGGCAATCACTGCCGACGTTCACGAAGGGGGCGATGGACCGAGTCGAGCCCCGAGACTTAAAACTGGAAACCTTCCAACCGCGAATCCGGAAAAAGGCACAAAGGCGTAAATCGTAGATCCACATCACCCGGTAGCATTTACCGTGGCGGTCTCACCTCCAAAAGCCAAATGTTTACACGTGCCGCCCTGCAGGCCAAGTAAATAACGCCAAACAACGCCGCCGAGGCGAGAGGCAGCCTGCATTCCTCCAGCCGCCTCCAACGCGTGGTACTTTTGTCCACCGATTGGGGAAGCTCAAATTGAAGCCTTCGATGACTCGGTATGCGATTGAGCGGAGGCAGCGTTCTGGGTTTAATCGCGCTAAAAGCCCATCACGCCGTGCGGCCTTTGCCCATAACGAAGCTCATTACGTACTTAAGCAAACGTTTATTAAGTTGCACAACTGCGTCGTGCTAAACGCTGCAATCGGAGACCGGGAGTGGGGGGGCTGAACAACAAATTAAATTAGGAGAGTCTTCGAGCTACTTCGATTTAACGCAACTCAAACTTCGTGGGGGGGGGGGGGGGGGAATGGCGTTTTTGTGTTTTCGGCGGAAGTGGGGGAGGGTGGAGGATTGCAGGACTGCTGAGCAACGATTGCTCCAAGGAGGCATTTGGTTGCGTTGGTTGTGAGACTATAAACCTATTTGTCGGAGTAAATTCCTGTGACAGGATTGAAAATCCAATGCTCCGTTACATCAGTCAACAGAATGGCAGCCTGTGGGTTATCTCGCATCAACACCAGGTGCTACAGGGGTACACTGCGAGTCGATTGTAACTTGGTGCTTTCCTTTAAACAAAACGTTATTTGTGGTTCAAGGCCTTGATATGAGAATTTAACGCATTAAAGAATGCTTACGTCTCTAATGTCATGTTGTTCAGTTTTCTTTTCGTCAGACAAATACCCAAAAGCTGCCTAAAACCTTGCCTTCAATATTACTTCAAAAACAAATGTCAGAATTCCAACAATCTATTTCATTCTCCTATTTAAACTTAAATAAACTAAAATGAAGCACTTTTATTTCAGAAGTGTGCTGCTTGGTCCAGCAGATGGCAGGAAACCCACTGCGAGACACAGATCAGTGTTGTCAGCTATGCCTGCTCAACAGCTTACCCATTACATTCTCAACGGAGGGGATGCTGTGCATACACTGACAAATGTTATTATATTATTATTCCGCATGTTTACCCAGAGACCCGGATTCTCAAGAACTCTTTTTTTAGAAGGGTTCTGCCAGGTTTCACGCCGGAGGGGGCAATACTGCTATTTTAAATCCCAAGTAATTAGCATTTTAATGTTCAGGAATGGAATATTTGGTGAAAACCAGTTACGTTATTATTTTCTTAACTATCGAGGAAAAAAAACTGAGAAGCCAGAGGAAACTCGTGCAGAACAAGGGGAGAAGATCCACATTCCATGCAGAAAGATTTGATGCAGGAAACTTTTTGCTCCGAGGCACAAGTGATACCACCGCGCAAACCCTGCGCACCCTGTGAAAAATGTGGATGTGTGTGATCTAATGTATACGGTTGGAATGAAGTACAATTGCAGTGAATGATGACCACTTACCATCTCCCCAAGTCTGTCCAGGTTATCCAAGAAGTACTTGACCGATTCACCCTGTGCAGAAAGAGCAGGGGTTGTGGAGGAGTGGGGAGAGGGAGGTTTGTGGGTGGGTGGGGGTGAAAGGGTGGTAGAGACGGGAGTAGGGGTAGGCGAGACACAAAACACAACTTTATAAAAATGCCCACAGCATAAATTCTACTGTACACGCTAAATTAAAAACCGCTCAAGTATGCGCACACACTCAGGCAGGCACACAACATAATGCTTCAGTGAACTGATACAGGGAGTGGGGGTGGGGACTCAAGTTTTTAAAACCTTTGTACAAACAGATGAATTATATATGTGCGCACACGTTCACAAGCAAGACCACTTGGCCGCCCCAGCATTGTGGCTTCCACATCCACGCACAAGTCTACCACAAGCACAGATCCAAAGCTTCCCAATAAGATTTGCATTGCATTTGTCACATATTATTCCTCCCATCTCCACGAAGGTCAAGGGCAGCCCCCCCCCCCCTTCTTTAATTAAAGCAAACAAAAAGGCACACGTTTTTCCAATTTCCATTTCCCTCCCATTGGCCGAACGGGCCTTTATTTTTGGGAACTCGATGAGCACTTGCACATGTAGCACGGCCGCGCGAGAGCGCCCCCCCTCCCCTTCCCCGCTGAAGGGCTCCCGCTCAGTCGCAGATGCTGACACGTCTGGTAAACACAGTAACGGCAGAGAGGGTTTACACGCGGAGAGGGTTTACACGCGGAGAGAGTTTACACGCGGAGAGGGTTTACACGCGGAGAGGGTTTACACGCGGAGAGGGTTTACACGCGGAGAGGGTTTACACGCGGAGAGGGTTTACACGCGGAGAGGGTTTACACGCGGAGAGGGTTTACACGCGGAGACGCGCCCCCCTCGCCCCGGCGTAGACAAGCCACAAAACAAGAACCGTTTTCATCTCGCGGCATAAAGTTTTAAACATTTTCAACAAAAGTAATTCCCGTAACCGTGAACGAGCAAGTGTTGGTTGGATGGTCTTCCGTCTCTACCGGAGGTTAAGAGCCAGCGGTGGGAAATTCCACGGTCTCAGGATGGGGACGGAGTCTTAATCCACAAGGAGATGACTCGGTGATCTTCACAAACAAGTGCAGCTTCATGAATGACAATAATGTATTTTATTTAACCAGGAGAGCTTCAAATAATCTTAAGACTTTTTAACAGGAGGTCATGAATTTGAATGGTTTCGCTAATACCATTAATGAGTGTCTGGTCTTATTAATGAGTAATAAACACTCACAGCTCTGCAACTCATTCAACAATTTATTTCTGTATAACTAACTTCTGGCCACATCGCAGCCAAAATCTACAATAATTGGTATTCTCAGTCTCCCATTCAAATACTGACGATTTGCAATTCTGCTGAGCTTGCAAGATCTGGTGAGATTGGGTGGAACACTCATCACCCAGGCTAGAGGGATGAGAACCAGCATGAAATATCACAAGCCCAGGTGCTCCACTAAATATGCTACATTGTAAAACATTACATACGCTTACACATTTATTTCTACTGTTACTTAATTAACATGGGGGTGCCACGGTGACAAAATGTTAACCACCGTGCCTGGTATACAAAGCATCATGGGTTCAATCCCGACTGATGCCTGTATATTTGGAGTTTACATTCTCTTTGTGGTCGTGTGGAATTTTCTCCGGTCCTCCGGTTTTTCCCTCCACATCTATAATCAACATGTATTTAGAGTATTTGGCTGCTATAAATTTGCACATGATACGCCACTTCGTTGGGCTATCATTTGTGGCCAGGTCAAAAAGAGCTATGAAGCTCAGTGGACCTTACCTGGTAAAAAAAAAATGCTATCTTTTCACAATTAAAATGACTAACTGATATTTTTACATGACGCTTTGAGTGCTAAAACACTCAAAGTGCCAGGCTGGATGTTTTAAAAAAATCAATGTTTCATTCCAGTGGCAGAGAAAGCATTTTTGGCAGTATGTGGGTCATAAAAATCAACAAAAAATTACATGCAACTATTTTGAGATGGCTCTTTTTCTCCTGCACTTCTCTGAAATGTAGCCATCTAAAATGAGCAACCAACTCCTTTAATTTATCACTTTAAACATTTACTTTTGCCCTGCCAGCAAGGCATGAGACCTATTTAGGAATGAAACACAAGCCCCTAGATGCAACAGAACAAGTTCTCTCTTGCCAAGAAGCACGGCAGATATGGCATTGCTCTGCCCCATCTAATGCCAGAGGGAAAATAAGCTCTGAATCAGGCATCTCAATTTAGTTTAAATACAGCTATGTTTAAATAACTGCAGGCTTGTCAGATAAACCCACATTACCACCCACCTTCCCAAACCTTGTGTAAATAAACCCTTAAATACTCTGGTAAATGAACATGATTCATAGGTGGACAGTCAACTAGTCACTGAAAATAGTGCTTCCAGCTTGCACAATTCATTTGGATTGAACAACACACTAAGATGTACATGGCATGCAAAAAAGCTCTTGGCCTTAAATCGGACCACCAGATCCAAACAACTGCATGTTTGGCGATTTGGTCGTTTAAGAGGACAGGCGAAAAAAACTGATATCATGCGGCCAGCCAACAACATTCAGGTGCCATGCATCTCTGCATGTTCTTGATTGTATTCCAGCCTGCTCTGTCTTTTATTCTGTTGGAATGGGTTTTCTCGTCATTGACAGATTTGAATGACGTAATTAATTGCGAGAGGATATGACACATTGCATCCATACGAGTGAGCGTGTTTATTTGCGTCGATGTACAAGAAAGTTTGGAGCAGTTCCGCACTGCGCTACAAAACCGATGACCTGAGTTCAAATCACAGCCACAACCAATAACCAATATCAGAAGTGGTCCTGGGCCTCCTCTAGGTTGACGCAAACTTAAATGTGCATATATCGGGACTGCTTATGGGCCTCCTTTAGGCCAACTCAACCTTAAAAATCCGTACTGGGGAGACAGGCATGTACGTGGTGCTGGACCACAGCTGACGTGACGTGCTGACCTCAATAGACGCTTGCTAACAACGCTAACTGCAACAGTCTGTTTAAGGTTATGTAGGGGAATTTTTGGTCTCTGTGTATAGCTAAGGGGAGAAGTTAAATAATGGGCTGTACTGTGGCTAATGTTATTGCAGCTCTCAACACTGGTAAGAAAAGTATCTGTTTTGACAGCGCAGATTGTATTTCGGAAGCAAGCACGCTTGCACAAGACAATAAGATGGGGGGGGGGCAGGGGGATCAGAGACTGGGGAGGGGAACGCAGGCATCACGGAACGCACGGAACTCATGCACGCACACAGGCAGACGAAGGATGAGGAGGGGGGGCGGCGAGGCAGAGCCCCCCCCCTCTCCACACACACGCGCAAACAAGCGCACGGGCCGCGTCGCCTTCGGTGGTTAACACGCCCCGCCGCGGCCAGATCGCCCGATGCATTATTAATCGTCGGCTGCCGCCCACTTGCTGCATCATTTGGCAGAGACGGCGCAGCTGGTGGCAGGGGGGGTTGGTGGGGGCATCGCTGCAGCGAGATGGCTGCGTTGTCCAACGGGAATGGAAGCAACTCTTCCTCCTCCCCCGCCGCTCCCTCTCCACTCTCTCCCATTTCCTGCTCGTTACGCGCGCCTTTGCGCAGCTTGCCAGCTCAGAGGGGGTTTTTTTTCGTTCCTCCAGATGCTAGAAGGTGGTGGGGATTTGTGGCTTGTCGATCTGGAATTCCACACTGGAGTTATTCTTCTTCTTCTTCTATTCCTGAAGCTCCACCGTGCAGCCAACATGTCATATTCCGGACGTGAAAACATCCACAAGCTTACGTACATTTTGACAGTACATGTATATATGTATGTATGGCCTGTTCATCACTGCAGTGCTGGATGAGAGCTTCCCCATGCTGTGCAGGCAGTGATGGTTATTTAACCATACTTTACCTTGCTGGCGAGTGGAGGGTGAAGTAAAGAACGATAGAGTGTGTTTTACTGCCCCCTGCTGTCAGCACTACCTACTACAGCCGCTTTGTATTGGGTCGTCACCCATAGAAACCACTATCCAGGCTCAACTTTCCTTAGCTTCCTCTGGCATTAAGTGGCTATTAAACAATACAAAGGTTAGCATTAACCTCTGTATTGTGGAGTTTTTAATGAAGTTTTTTCACACGTCAGCCAATTATCACTCCACTGCCGATAAAGCGAGCACCGGTTTGAGGGTAACACTCACGCAATGAGAAGATTCTGGCTCCTGCCATGGATTGTGGAATTTTAACTTCTGGCTCGGGTCCACAAAGAAAGACGAGCTCCCATCCCTTTGCTCGTTCAGAGCACGCAGTCACTTTGGACTCAGTCTTGCCTTTTCATACCTTGTCTGCAATGGCCTTGCGGGGGTTGGGTTATTATTGCCGTTTTCAGTATTAAAAAAAACAACTGTTTTGAAAATACAAGATGTTTAATTGTTTGTGTTCTGCAAACTCCAGTGGGTTTTGACGAATGGCCTGGAGATTTTTTGAAACACCACAACTTGGCAACACAAGTCACCAGAAGCTGGCGGTCGGCCCAGAAGCACAGTCGTATCAACATCCACGGGGGTAGCGGTTGGGATAAGGAGAGCGAGCTGGGGGGGGGGGCCCAGCAGCTCGACTCGCTCACAACCCCAACAGCTGACGTCGGACCCAAAACGGCGTAACAAAAAACCGGAAAGAGGGGAGTTTCTAGCGGGGTAGGGGGGGGTGTATGGGGATGCTGGAGGGCTATATGTGTATAGGGGGCAGGGAAGCTTTGTGTCAAGACAAAAGAATATGCTTCTCAGAGCATCGCTTGCTCTCGCAGCAACGTTTCACTTTGGTCGACGATTTCCAGCGGTGAGGACGCAGTCTTCGGCAGAGTCGCACCGGCACGGGACGCCCCCCGCCCCAAGCCTCAATCAAGCGACGCCGAGTCTCGACGCGTCAACAGAGGAGCGCACGCACGCACACCGCCCGTGTACAGTGCTGTACTCGCCGCACACGGGGCTAAATTGGGACGACGT